GAAACTTTGTAGTGAACCCAAATAACAATGATCCAGCAAAGTTTCTGAAGACAGCCACCATCAGCAGTGTTCAACAGGTGTCTGCCATGATCGACCCAGGAAGCTCAGAATCTATCATGGGACACGCTGCAGCGGTCAAGAGCAAGCTGCAGATTACCTGCTCATCAAAGAGACTGTACGGCTCCGGAAGCACCGACGAGTATGCAGTGAAGTCGATTGGATCTGCTTTCATCGACATCTCCATCGACGACATTGTGTGTAAGCGGGTGGAGGTCCTCATCGTGCCGGACAGCGTACAACCTGTAGACATCCTAGTTGGGCGGACGTGGATGGAGCAGCCCCACATATCGCACATCTATGAATTGGCAACGAGCTGCGAATTGGATATAGGGATGACCTGCCCTTTTGCAACAACGAGCTGCCCCTACTACCAACAAAGGACAGCTTAACAGTGAGTGAGACGATCACACTTCTCAACAAAAGTGTGTGCTGGGTCACCCTGCAGTCCAAAGGAAAACGAGACTCCAATATCATTCTTCGTGACAAGCTTGGAGGAGAGAGTCTGCACCACTTGACAGATGGAAAGGTGAACGTCCCGATCGTCAATGACTCATACACTGACAGACATCTTCGGAAAGGTCAGATGTTTATGCATGCCAAAATCTTGGATGACGAGGACGAGCTGCATGTGGCACGCATCGATACTGATCGAAAGGAACCGATCTTAGAGAGTCAAGTGAACTTTGATCAGGACACTGCAGAAGTCGAGGTGTCAGCGCTGATGGTAGTGCTCAATAATTACAGAGACTGTTTTGCCCTCTCTCATGAGAAGCTTGGATGTACCCATTTGACTGAAATGACTGTCATTGAAAAACCTGGCAGTGTCCCTGTGCTTTGCAAGCCCTATCGCACTAACTTGGAAGAGCGAAACGCAATTCGAGAAATTGTTACGGAGTGGAAGGACTGCGGGTTAGTAACGGAGACGTCCTAACCATATGCTAGTCCTGTTCTCCTGGTGAAAAAGAAGAACGGACAAGCAAGAGAAGTCAAGCGAATACTTTAACAAGAGCCATTTCAAAGCTCAAATGTTAATAGTTGCGAGATCTGGTCGTGATGCGTTGTCCTCCAGAGCGCACAGGAGACCCAACAAAAACACAAGCTAGATTCAGGGGTCTCCTTTTCGTGACCGAAGTCCTTCCAAGCGACACGTATAGAGTGTCGGAAGTGAAAGGCACAAAAAAGGGGGTCTATGCGACCACGGCCCACATCACTCAGCTGAAGTTGTGGAGGCCAGGTGGCGAAACGTCGAGCGACTTTTCTGGTGAAGAACAAGAAGACGACCCCAATGAACCACCGCCACAAAAAAGTGGGAGGTCTCGCAAGCCGCCTGCTTACCTGAAGGACTATACGTCTGTATCAAGTGAAGTGATGTGATGTGTGCAATCTATACGGTGTAATGTAGTCTTTTAGTTTGGCCTTTAGAAACCGAGGACAGTTAAAACCCAGTATGGCCGAGTTAAAATAACCTACAACAGTGCGCCTTATTTTTCTTTGTGAATGTGTTCCGACCCCGTGGACATGGAGGGGGGGACCGCAACTCCGACGGGGGCCAGCTGTGTTTATACCTCTGGCAAGGAAGGGTGCTCAGAGAGGAGAAGAGGACGATCGTTTGCTGAGTGTCTGCTTCCTCGGGGCTTCGACCACCCCCGCGAGCTCTGGGCGTTGCCCGGGAGGGTGGAAGAGGACACTTACCTTCCAGGCACCGATGGAAGACGTTCGCGTCGGAAACCTTTCAATGTACTCTTTGTCATTGTTTTAACCTTATCTAACCGTAATAGTCTTTCTTTTATTCGTTTCTTTAAAAACGGTGACTTCTTGGACCATCAAGTTAACAGATGGCCCTTTAAACTTTCTCTGAGGAAGTGCACACCATGAGATATAGAAAAAAAGTTTTACAGGCACCTTCACTCTGGTGAGAGGACTGTCCCGAAAACATGTCTTCCCTTCCAATTCTGAAAAAATGAATGTGAAAAGGGACCTGGACATTGTGTCCCCTCATGTACGCAGAACCTAGGTATTTAGCAGTATATCATTTTGAAATTGGGTTGTTATTTTTGTTACAATGCACATCCTTTTGTAGGTGACCTCGGTGCTGAGGTACCTCCAGAGGTATGGAACACAGTTTGGTATCTTCGGCTTCGAGGACTGTCTTCCTACCATCAAATTTATGGAGCTTGTTTACAAGTGGTTTAGCCTTCACAACCATCTGCAGCAGCACCTTTCACATCTTCAGCAAGGACCTCATGAGGATGCCATTTTATGATTCTAACTATGAGAGGTGAATGCTGCACTTTTACTCATTTTACTTGTGGTTTCTTTTTAACAGTTAAGATTTCATATATTTATTTCATTGCAGGCTGTCCTGGCTGGAGAATGATCTTCTGGATTACTTCTTGGTTTGGAAGGACAACTCCCCTGCAAAGGCCGCATTTCTCTAGGAGGAAACCTACGAGGCACTGTGCATCACTACTGCTTCCATGGTCGCTTGCACAAGGCACCTGCTAGACAGGGGATTTCATTTCGTCCCGACGTCACAATATTCCAGCGACGATGTAAAGGCTTTGTTCTCCACCGTGCAGCAACTGAACGGTCAAAATGACCAGACAGATGCCCGTGCCACCTTGTCTTCACTCCAGAAGATCCTTGTGACTATGCTTCTGCATTCATCCAAAAGGTGGAACACGACCCATACAATTGGGACCCAGGGGGACCGAAAGAAACTTGCGTTAACAGCCTCCTCAACGGTATCAAGTGCTGTTGGCTTCGTTGACATTTTGCAACCACACACTCATGCTCTGGAGATGCTCCCAGGTAACCGTCTGCTTGTGGTTCTAATCGCTAGAGCTTGAAAAAAATGCCATGTTTTTTTTTTTTACATTTTCTCAGAGTTACTGTGATGCAATGTTTTCTTTGTTTTGTCTGTTTCAGGGACACCTCAACCAGGACTGCAAGCCAGCACACTAAGCCTTGTCGCCGGCTTCCTGGTCCGGGCCGTGCTGTACAAAATTTCCTGCCTGGGCTGCCTTGACACCGTGAAAGCGCCAGCGCCATCCTCCTCTCCCACAACGGCACTGATCATCAACATAGACCGTGGTGGTCTGTCCTACCCATGCCTGTCCTTCGTCGGATTTGTCATAAACCTGGAGAGAGCTGCAAGCACTTCAGTCACCGCGCTCCTCAAGAGTAGGCGGCCAGTGCAGCAGTTTCTGGGGGCTGCGCTCCCAGCTGTGTGAAGGAACCCTCTGCTACAATGCGAGCATGACTCTTCCGAAGATCACAGAAGGGCCCTTGCTACCGTGATAGTAAGAAAATTCACGAGGTCCTTCTTGGTCAACCATACAAGGAATGTATCAGAAAGGAAGTGGAAGAAAGAGAACCTCAAGGTCAAACCAGAATCAAGGAAGGTGCTCAAGGTGTAAGTGCCTCTGTGACAAAGTGAAAGTGATTTCAACGAAAGGGCTATATGCAAGAAATAAAATTCCTTGAAAAGTATGACCTCGCAGTACCTATTTTTATAAAAGGTATAAAAATGCAACCAAGCTGTGTGAGAAATCTACCAGAAATGGGTAAAAAAAAGGGGGGGGGGGGGGGGGGGGGGGGTCACAAAACATATCTTCCAATCAAGTTCACATAAAACAACGCTTAGAACTAACCTTGCTTCACAAAATTTATGCTAAAAATTCATCAACCGCTCAGTGCCATAAACCCTCGAGTTTTTAGGAAATTTCAAGCGAACTCGAATAGATCTGTGGCTATATTTTCTGCCCACGCTGAAAAAAAAATGTATATTAATCTTTGTGTTGCCTCTTTTAGGGGTCTCTGATAGAAACACTCTCAGTTGAGGAAATTTTTATCGAAAGATTGAGGTGAAAGTAAGTCGTTTATCAACAATTTGCGGCCGCACGGAGAGCTCAGCCGTAGGCACGCTCCGGGTGATGTGATCGGAAATATTAGGAGTTGGTCGTGGACGTTCTCGCCCTCAGAGCCGGTGCTGAAGTCGACGGGCCCAGAAGACAACGGCCGCATCAAGAAACGCACGAGTCGAGTGCATGTGCACCTAACCTTCGCGACCACAAACAAGGAAGCTTAGGCTTCCTCCATATTTCTTTTTTTTTTTTTTCGTTAGTTGGAAGAAAAATAAGCTTTTTTTTTTCTTCCTGAATTTTTTCAGTTTTGATAACTGCAAAACTTGAGTCAGATTTATTGAGTGGAAACTGTATTATATACACAATGTTACATTGGTTTACAGTTGTAATTATAATTATTTTTCAATTATATTTTGTATTTATGGCAGAAGAGAGCCACCACTAGGACGGGATACAGGCAACAGAAACTGCGCACATCTTTCAAGTTATCTCCTCCCTTGTATAGCTGTCAGAGGAGCTTCAAACACGCAATGAAGTCGATTTCGGTTTGAGATGAAGGAAAAAGGCCGCTATTTTCCCTAAACGAGGTTCCGAAGCGATTTGATAAATTGGTGTCGCTAGAACGGCATCACTAATCCACCGTTCACTCAAATGAACACTGCCATTTGCTAAAATGATGTTCAATGAAACATCACGGCAAGGGCATTGTTCGCTAAAACGCTGTTCGATCAAGTCAGTGCCTCCCAGGGTCGCACCCAACTCAACATTAATCATGGCACATGGTAGTGTGTTAATACTTCAAGATTTAGTTTCTACCATTTTGATAAAGTAAATAGCAAAGTACCTGTGAAAAGTAACTTCACTTGTAGTTAAGAGTTACTGGAAAATGTACCTAAGATACAGATGCAGGTACCGAGAAATTAAAGTACCTACGTTTGTACCTTAGGTACAACAAAAGTACCTACAACTGATTTCCGGTTACATGTACCTAGGTACTTTGCAAACCCGCACATGGGTTACATAACTTGCCACATTGTTTTTTTTATATTGCTGCCATTGAATCAACTGCAATTGTTTTTTTTTTTTTTTTTTTTCGTGATCTATGTGCTGCCAGGGGGGAATCCCGTAGTAGTCGGCTCTAAGGGATAAAAAATTATTTTTCTTCTTTTTCCGAGCTCACTGCACGAGAAATAAAACAAACAGTTCGAGCTGGAACACCGTGGAGCTTGGACGTCAATTCCCACAAGATACTATGTGTGATACGCGGGCAGGACTAGCACAAACCACATGCAACGTATGGGGTAAAAAATGGCAATGAACACGTGAAGCTGTTGATACTTTTAAAAGAAACGCAATGATGAAATCTATTCGGATTTCCTGCGCATGTTAGATAAAAACCTTGCAACTACTGCACGTTGTCTTGTATATGTGATGGAAAGGGTTCCCCTTCGGTCATACTTTGTAGGCAGTCAAGTTTTCGAAGTCTATTACTATTTTCTTCACCTCCGGAATGTGCTGCCTGTAAGAAAGAAATGTTGAGTTTAGTCGCAAAAGAGGCACCCAGCTATTCTTTTCTAGTAGGTGACTATGCTACCTGGATCAAGGTCAAATGACTTAATATATCTTGGTAGTAACTTTCTTCACAATTCATCTGTGATGGCAAGTTTCTAAGAAATATTGGTGGGCAAGCTTCGACCAATACTAACATTGTTGAAGACGCGCCTCGGAGAGCAATCGACACTTGCCTGTTTGAAACAATAGAAAATGTAAAGGTTTATCATTTTAGCGGTGTTTTAAAGAGATGGCCAGCAACCTTTAATTTTAATGTCCTATAATGCGTGAAATGTGGTATTTGTTTATAAGACGTGAAATAGTCAATTCAGAGAGCAAAAAACCCACTTTTAGGAATTTTTTCTAAATTTAACAGGACTTAGTACAAAGGACACGTGACAGCCCCCATTTTCCCGCTAAATTTCGTGGCAAACTAAATTGGTGTAATAGGTCACACAACGTGGCATGTGACATCAATTTTCCCGCCATATTTGACTGAGAAACTGTTTACCTGCCAAATTTAAATGGGAAATTCGACTGGTCTGTAGGTCACATGATGTCAATTTTCCCGCTATGTTTAGCGAAGAAACTGTTTACCCACCAAATTTAAATGGGAAATTCCATTAGTCTGTAGGTCACTGGATGTCCATTTTCCAGCTAAATATAGCGGGGAAACTAAACTGGCGCATGTGTCACATGACGTCAACTTCCCCACCAAATTAAGCGAAGAATTGCGGAAACTAGTTGATGGACAGGCGGTCAAAATTTTCGATTCCGTTCAAAAACATTTCATTTTGTTTAGTGCATCACTCTTTCTTGACTCAGAAAAACTTCCAACAATGTCATAAATGTCTGTTACTCTCAGATAGCATCTACATTTGACCTCGCAAATACCGTGAAACCTTAGCTCTGGCGAAATGCAGTTCCGGGGTCGCCTCACCAATAGCGGTAGCGTGCACTCTCGCTGTAAGCGGGTCGTAAGAGTTCACAAGAGCTCGGTCCTGAGCAAACGCAAGTGTGAACAGGCCGTAAGGGGCTCTAGACCGCTTTCGGCAATAGTCCATTTACGATCACAACTCAGTGCAGGGACTCTTCGCATCCCAAAAAACCAGACATTACATTCATACGTGGACGATTCGCACGGCGAGTTGAAAGGCAGAGACATTTGCAATAAGAGCTGTGAGGAGGTGCCGAAAGCATATATCGTCTGCAAAACTTCTCTCCGCCTTTCAACTCGCCACGCGAAGATGTGGTGCATGCGCACTTGCAACCAATCCGCCCAGGAGGCGTCTGCCATTAAATTGCAACTGTGAAGGTGATGATGTTAAATGATGAGGACACAAAATTCCGCTAACTGTGAAACAACACGAGCAAGGCTCGCAAGAAGAACAGTATACAAATATTTAGTGTCCTTCCGGGCGCAGCCATCGCGCCGATGCTTTTGGCAGTGTCCTGGCGGCAGTGACCTGAACCTGCCTGGGTGCCGTCCTTACAGACCTCCACGCCTGTCCGGAATCGTGCCTCGGCTGGCCGACGTGCTGGTGTCGATCCATCCTCCACCCGTCTCCTTACCTTCTATTCGCGAATCTTCTTGTTCATTCATTTTAAGTACACAAACTTGTTCTTTCCGCTTGGCGGTCACTCCCCAATATTCGCATCATTGCAGATCCCTGTCCTCATCTTACGGCGCCTTCTGGTGTCTGCAATTTCGTCTGAATGGAAAAAAATATAGTAAGCAGACCTTACGGCAGCTAGCATTGAGGTCTACCCACTATCCTTTCAATCAAAGCCAATCGGATCTCTACATCATTTTGATGTCACCGCAGCTGCCACACAAGAAGAAGACGACTTGCTCTCCGCCTTGATATTTTTATAGAGATCGGCCACACGTGAATGTAATGTTTGGTATTTTAGGATGCTTAGAGCCTTGGGCTATGACCATGACTGTGGTGTAGCACCCCCTTAAAACTTTCGCTCACAATAGACACACCGGAAGGGGATTTTCGCCTTGGTGAGGAGGAGCCTAGACGCAACGTAAGGGGCGTCTTTGGGGTGCTTATCTTGCAGGTAGACAACTTGGCCGATGCCCGACTGCACCACCATCTTGGCACACTCGTTGCACGGGAAGTGCGTCGTGTACAGCGTGCAGCCGCGCACGTCAAAGCAGTTGCGGTTGAACAGGGCGTTCATCTCGGCATGACACACTGCAAAAACGACGGGAGAAATTTAATTCACCCGCGAAATAATAAGCAAATGGGACAAAGCACAGAACACAAAAGAAAGAAAAGACGGGAGAAGTGACAAGTTTTGGAACGATGGTGCAACTATGCGACAGACGTGCACCATTAGTCACACGCAGAGCTTCGGAGACAAGCCTTATTTCGCACATGTTCTGACAAACCACATAAAATGTTATGGTAAAAAAAGAAACAAAGACTGACTTATGTAATCAATAAACATAAAACTAAAAAGGCTCAATACTTTTTTTAAGTGTGTGGCTCCTACGGGTTAAGAACTTCTATGACATGCTTCACAAAAACTTTTTCGGAAAAAAAGGAAATTGCCGAGTGCAATGTTTACATCGCGAGACTTGCAAACGTGAGTCTATTTCGAGACGTTGACCCCCAAAACAAAGCATTTTTCAGAAATGCACTAAAATACTTTTTTTTTTCCCCGTTTTTTTTTATTAACACTCATTTCGTAACGTACGTGCCCCATCCAAATGCTTTAAACAAATTTTGGGGGGGAGGGAATGGGAAGGGGGATTTTAGTAAAGGTGCACAGCAACGAAACGTGGTAGGCACGTGGATACCGACTTGGCCCAATTCAAGACACTTTAAACTGCTCAACTTTTGAATGAAAAATCTGTGTTTTTCCAATCAGTTCCCACCTCTGCAGGTTAGACGAATCTCGTTATTAAATCATTTACGTGTAGGATGACCACCTTCCTGCTAGCAAAATGCAAGACAGAAGGCCTCCACCCCCCCCCCCCCCCCAACCTCTGTAAGGAAATTTATTAACACAGTTCTATCTGTTCGGGTTCCAAGATGTTGTGGTAGAGGAACTTTTTTAACATGCACACCACAAACCGAGGCTATGTGAACGGATTTAAAAACCTGTGCTGTTTATACACCTGCTGTTGTACATCTTGCAGCAATGAGGTCACAATTTTCACTCCCAGTGATATGCATTTTTATGCCTGCCAAATGTGTTATTGAATGTGTCGAAGTTGAAAACATAAAAATCGACTCTAGCACAACTCAATGCATCAAATGGAAATAATAGTCAATCTTTTTTGGGGTATTGTTTTCTGTCAGCGCTTACTTTTATAGTCATGGTCCTACACAAATTTTTAACATTATGCTCTTTTTCGACTGTCGTGAGTTGCAGGCTTTTTGCCTTGTGTTGCTATCTTCACTAAAAAAAATCCACAGTAACCCTTTCGCATTGACACAGTGATTTTTAAATAATTACCATATTTTATACTAATACTTTTAGCGAGCAATTTCTTTTTTGCTTTACAATATTTTGCTACTAAGGGGAGAGGCACAACGGAGCATGCGCGTCGGTTCTCCTGCAAGAACGACGGTCGCTTCCCACAATGCTTGGATAGAAAATGGCGTACCATTGCGATTTACACGATTACCAGCGACTTCCGCGCTTCCCCGTGCCCGCTGTTCGAAAGCACCGTGAGTTGCAGAGTGAATTTTACTACAGTATGAAATGCGGGACATTTTGAAGATTTGGGAATTTTCTGCGGGACACGGGACACGAGCCCTCAATGCAGGACAGTCCCGCAAGTCGCGGGACGTGTAGTCACCCCATTTACGTGCGGAAAAAAAAAAATATGCAGGAACGCGGCAGGCTTTGTCAGAAACGCGGGTAATCCGGCACCCTTATACAGAGGTTGGGAACACTTGCTGTGACGTAAATCTGTCGCCGCTTTGTAACGCGATAAACGTTTCGGCAATCCAACAGGAGTTGTTGTATGGCCGGACGTGTCGCCTTGCCGGCACCACCTGAAGTATGTAGGTGCCATGTGTCGGTGATCAAAATGAATGTTTTTTTGAACAATAAAAAAAAAAAAGCTGTACATGTCTAAACGTTTGGTCTCCGCCCAAACCTAGAGCTAGCGGTCAAAACCTAATGTCAAAGTTTCGAAGCTTGCCGTTTTTCCCATTTCAAAATTTATCGGCGATTTTCAGAACTTTTCAACAAAAAAATGGTCGACGCATTTGAAACTTTGGCATTTGGCCTGGACTGCTAGCACTACATTTGGGAAGAAACCGAGCTATCAACAATGCACAGCTTTTTTTTTTTAAACATACATTTTGTATATGGGAAACCGGTCTTTCTAATTTTACCTTTCTTTGCCTCTCCGGAACGTTCCAGAGCAAAATCGACGCTTATCGTGCATTCTTATCAAGAATGCTCCCGACATCCCAGTGAGTATATAAAAGCAGAGCTGGCATACGCAAGCCGACACTGAAGTCAGCCTTCTGTATTATCTTTTTTTTTTTTTTCAATTACAATTAAAGGCGTTTAAGGAGGCCTACTTGTGCCTAAAGAAAGAAATTACAATAACCGGCGTCACAGGCATTGATGTCCTCACAGTTGGATTATAATGAGGTTGAGCAGCAATTCTCCAACTGCATTAGTTCTCACAAACTGAAAAATTCGAAAAGTTAATTGCATCTTTTCGGTTACCGTAATGTCCCGAGACGCCCCACACTTGAAAGATAGCCCACCCCTACTTTTGGCGCGATTTGCTATTTTTTCTGAAACACCGAAAGATAGCCCACTTCTAGTAATTGCAGGGCCCTGGCCAATAGTGACCAGGAAAAAAACTGTGTTCCTTAAACCACAGCGGGAGATGAGCGAACATTGCTGACTGCAAAGGAGAGTTGTCTTTGCTTCATCGCACCCTTCCTGCAATCACAACTAATTTGAGGGTCACAAAACCTGAAACTAGAAGTTATTCAAACTTTTTTTATGGCAAACCAAAAGTTAGCTTACCCCTTATTTTCAATGGATTTGCTATGGAATTGAGGTGGGCTATCTCTCGAGGTATTACGGTAAATAGCTACCTAATGAACCAATTTCATCTCTTTTTTGGTGGCCCCGAACTGCAAACACAACCAAGGGGCTAAAAAAAAAAATTTCCAATGCAAGTTTCTTTTTTTTTTTTAGAATTAACACGAACACCCTGTATCTGCCTCCATCTGCTGTTGCGCGCACACAGTTTTTGCAAGCCTGCAGCGTGTTTTAAATAACATAATCAAAAAGCAGCTTGTACACATGTGTGCCAGCACACATAGAACAATGTTTCATCTTTGCTTACGCTCGGATACCGACTTCGCGTGCCTTCCGCACGTCCTCCACAACATAATCACAAAACAGCCTGTAGACACGTGTCTCCAAGCATAAAACAATGTATCGTATTAGTTCACACACATTACTCCATGCCTCCAGCAAGTACCACACAACACGTTCACAAACAAGCCGGATGCAATTAGAACTTCCCCGAATTACGCGCAACCTTTTACCCCTGCATCCCGCACCACGTGTGACAAGGACTCCGGTGCAACCGCACCTGAATCGACCCACAGGGGTTTCCCAGAACCCGACGACTTTTCAACCAGCGTGCAGCTGTTCGGACTGCTCCCATACTGGCATCATTCGTTCTAGTCGGCAGCGTCCCACTTTGAGGCAAGGGCCTGCCCGCATTTTCCACACTCACCAAAGGGATACTTCGTGTCGACGGGTGAGTTGCTCGTCTTTCCCCAGGGCATTTCGTCGTCGCTGATGCCGTTGGGCATGCCGTTGTAGCCGGTCCCCACGATCCTGTTCTCCTGGTTGACAATCACGCAGCCCACCTGGACCAGTTTGCCAGTTAGTCGGGCCACCCACTCAGGCCGGTTTGCCGGTCATTCACGCAGTCAACCTGGGCCGGTTCGCCGGCCAACGCGGGTATCTTTCCTGGTGGTTAAAATAGCCGTAAGAGAGGTTTCGGAGCAATTTGACCGGCTTTGTGGGAAGGAATTTGTACCTAGAGTTCAAGACAAGTTTTAGTGCGTTAGTTTTTAAATTTTTGTAGTATGGTGTCTCCTTTATACAATGACTTTTCTTGGATCTTGGATTGAATTACTAAAGTTTTATACGGGACCCAAATTTCATTTATGCTCTCCCGGATAAAGTCCCGTCACGAGCCATTGCCGTTTCTTTTGGCTTTTTTTCTCTCCGAGCGTTTAAGATATATAGACACACAGTTACACGAGTTATTGATATTTTAATCAACGCAATCGTGACGTATAGGTCGTCTCGGGACGAGCAAAGCTAGGGCGAGGTTGACGTCGAGAGGATGGCCTAGTCGTTCCAGCCACCAAAGCGGCTGCTTTTGTACGAATTTGGAGTGAAAGATTAATCTATGATCTTGTAGGGGGACAATAGCGACTTCTGCGACAGCCAAAAGGCATTCTCGGGAAGAGGGGACTTCCTCCTTCCCCTTTCTCTCGTCGTGGCCGGAGGCGAGACACTCACCGTCACTAGCTGTCAAGGTTTCTAGACGGGCATTACAAACGAGGCGTTAGCGAAATCCACCAGGTGCTCTTTGCTAATCGTTTAATTCGTTTTAAAATTCCTTTTCGTGACTTTTTTTAACAAGATATTGGTGTGTTCGATGTGATACTCCTCCTTTAAACACATATAGACCATAAAATAAGCGTCGAAATTTTGTTGTAGTATCCCTTTGAAGCGGGATCAGCAAGGGTACAGCGGCAACGGACTTCGAAGGGAAGCATCACATCGCGAAAACGACCACCTACCTGCGTGTTGGGGTCCTTGCTCCTCATAGCGGCCAGGTAGGCCGAAGACATGAAGTAGTCCTGCCACGGCAGATAATCGTCCCTTTTCGTGCGGCGTTCTCGGCAGCTGTCGGCGACACAGAGTCTGTTGGGCACAAGACTGCTCCTGTGCCGAATAAAGAAGGCAACTTGAGTTGGTTCTGCCGCGAGCAGCGTACAGCTACTTACAGATCTTCTATCTTTGCTGCCAGGTCACCGTTTGATACCGACATTTCGAGTTTTAAACGCAGTTTTCGTACAAAAAAAGATTAAATTGTTTTGAACAACTCTCAAAAACCACCAACACGCCAGCCTCGCGCACGCCTCACCCGCCACACACGCTGCGCACGCCTCAAGTTTGTTTCGAATTGGAAGCAGTGTTGCCAACTCAAAACTTTAAAACCCGCAGTCGGAATCTCGAAAACCCCTAAAAACACGCTAAATCCAAAACACTGCGCAAAACGACTTTATAGACAATTTTTTTTTTGGTTTTAATTCTTGACAAAGGTATAATAACAGTATAGATCATATCAATGCCATCTGAATGGAAGCTTTCCTTTTGTTTTGACTAGAAATCTGTCACGCCACGCCACAGTTCACCCGGGTGATCCGAAGTCGAAATTGCAGAGTGAGCGCGGTGAGCGCATACGAATATGGCAAGGGATCCTTCAGCAGTGTGTGACTAGTCAGACCCATTCAACTCGTAGAGTCGTCTGCTACCAGAGGAGAAAGGTGCAGCGGCCGAAACATGCTTCTTCGTTGCAGCGTGCGCGACCAAATCCACATTCTTCGCATAGTTCTGTTTTGAAATAGCGGCACCTGGCTCGTCTGCTATCACCAGGAACCTCCAGTAGCCAGTCTTTAGGTATAGGGTTTATAGCCAGTCTTCAAAATTTTGAGCGTACTTCACCACGCCCATCTCACGAAACAGTGACAAAAACGTCAAAGGAAAATTGGAATATTCATGCTGTTCAAACGTGCGCGCACAAAACAGGGAGGCATGTTCCGACATTCGTCGCCTTAATGTTTTCATGACGTCACAGGCGTTACTCTCACAAACCAGAACACATAGAGATCATACATACTAACTCTAGAGGAAAAGGTCCGCCATTTTCCCATACATTCTGGCTGCCGCAAGCGGCGGATCATGCAGGCAGACCCTCGGGGTCCCAAACATGGTTACATCTAGAGCACTATATAGCTCCTTCGGAGGTAGCGCAATCTAGAACGCCGTCTCTCGGCGACTAGCGGCGAACGCCCGGAGGTTCCAACTGCGGTCAGAAATGCATGGAGAACGTGAGAAAATCGTTGTTCCTTCAGTTTTGTGGGGATGTACGGAATGGCAATCATTTTTGACATAATAATGAAACATTTTAGAATAATTTGCGATAAGTTTTGTGCCATGCAAGGACGTAACTTTTTTTAAAAAATTGCCTGAGCGGCATCATGCAGCAGACGACACGGCGACGTCACACCATTCACGTGACCCACTCCGGCCAACCCGAAAAGCCCATCTCCGCTGCGAGCAAACATCGTCTGCTTCAAACGCCATTGCCCTGGAAATTGCCTTCTCAAAATTTGCACACGCATCCGATATTATTCAAACTTTGATAGAGTGTTCAGCGCTTTACTAACTTCACGACAGGCTAGTTTTGAAAAGTGTGAACTCGCCGTTATTTTTTTAATCAGCCGTGTTATGTCGATCTCCGTGTATTCTCCCATAGGGCGGGCCGCATCTTGGAACCCTGAGTACCACGTGACTCGCGCCGAGCTGCTCTGTCGGCCATGTTGTCGGCAAAACATGGGGTTCAAAGGATTGCGCTACTCTGCTCCGTAGGAGCTATATAGTGCTCTAGTTACATCATCAGAGCAGTTTCGTGAACTTCAACAATCCACGAATTTACCGGTGGAAAGATATTCGCGTTCCTTTCGAAGCTTTCTTTTTGTATAGCGCGCAGATGTACGGCCTCGCGTTAACGCTAACGGTGGGGCGCGGCTGGGTGCGGTTGAGGAATACGAAACTGCGCAACCACCAGATTTCTGAAATTTCGACAGAAGGGAAGTTAATGCAGCGTAATGACTTTATTGCTTTTTATAAGCGTTAGAATAGCTCAGAATTTAGTTTACAACGTTAAATTATCACTGTTTATATTGCTGAGAGTTTTCACTCTTCGCGTTTACCATGGCAACGTTGCTTTCTTTCTCTCGTGTTCTGTCGCTCTCTTTTGCGATCGTTCACTCGAGACCCCGGGTGTCGGCGCACGGGATTTGCCACTCCTCCTCACCCACCTTTACCCCCCTGCCAGAACATTACTGAGAGTAAGCGAAGACGACTGTGGCTTATTATCCTTGTCTTTATGGATACGAAAGGTGCATAGTTGGCACTAAATCGATATAACTTGTATATCGCTAAAAAACCGCCAAGGTTTCATAAAACCGGCTAAAAATCCCGCCTCCCGCAAAACAATAATTTATCCCACTAAACAGAACCAAAAACCGCAAAGTTTAGCGGGGAAACCGCTAAATTGGCAACACTGATTGCAAGTGATGGAAAAAACCAGTGGAAAAAACAGATGGAAAAAACAACACTTCGTATTAGGCGCTTGCTCGTGCCACCTGGTATCTGTGTATGCCTCCCCAAAGCGCGCGAACACTCCTGTACTTGGAGAACACGGGCCTGGAGTCGACGTTATCGACGTTCTGAGCACGGCCGTTCCTTCACGTCAAAAACTTCCTCAGAACCTGTTCTCTCCTCCAACCACGCTTACGGCGACCGTTCGAATGTTTCTTCCAATAAACGCTTCTCTGGGGGTTCACCTTGGCTTGTGTCAATACCGTGGCAACGAGCGCCTGATTTTGCTGTAAGCATTCAATCGGCCTCCAGACGCTTGGATGGGCATGGCCGACAAGCTTCTGGAACCCTGTATTCCATCCTTCGCAGGTGTTGGTCGTCCAGTCTTTATCCTGAAGAGTGGCGTCGTGCATATTCCACCGTTCTGGGGGAAACTCCGGTCGTCGTCGGCGCACAGTCGGGCCAAGGAAAGACTTCGCTCTGGGTGCCGCCGCAGAAGGAGCAGAAGCATAACGGAAGGGGCCGTTGACGTACGTGCAATCAAAGTAGTCCAGCAGGTCGCCGATGTCACCGGTAGACTTTTCCCTGATGTAGGTGAGTCCTTCGGGCACAAGCTGTGGTGGAGGGAACGCCAGCTTATCCAAAATCCCGCACAGTTTTCTAAATTGGTCATCTGTCTTACACTTGTCCAAAAGGCCCAACTCCCGTTCCTTCAAAATATTTTTAAAAATTCGCAACTCAATAATTTGTATAATACAGTTTTGCTTCAGTTTCCCTATCACGTCACCCTGAGATAATCCTTGATTTCAAATATATTTACGACGCACAATGACGGAAAGAACTTGATTTTCCTAGCCATTCACTTCAAATATTGCCCTGAACCCCAAGAAAACCCACGCATTAGTAATGAAGAGACATTGTGCCTAACCTTTATGTGCGCGTTGAGCGCGACATAAGCACAATGAAAAAGTGAGGGCACCGAAGGGTGAATTCGCTTCTTCGGTCACTCTTCAGGTTCAAAAACTTTGGTTCACGAAGTTTCTTGGGAGAGGCACAAGGGTCATACCTTGAGTCCAGCAAGCTTGATCTTATCAGCTCCACTCAGTTTCGGTGACCTAAATTTTGGTCATAAATCGTTGCTTCTTTGCCTGTTATGGCTTATCTGTCGACACCTTTGCATGGGATGGCGTAGTAGTTCTCCTCAAAATGGTGCAATGCCCATCGCGTCCGCACTTTATCCCAACCCGTGTTTCGCCCGTATAGCAAAAAATAAATAAATAAAATAAGGTGAGCTTTTGTCCGGAGTCTTTGAAAAAAACGGGTGAGCTTTTGTCCGGTGAGCTTCTATCCGGTGAGCTTTTGTCCGGTTACCTGATAGAGCTCCCTGCACCCGGGGTTCCGCGACTGCTCACGCCCGCAAATACAGCGCCTAAAAAGTTTGCAACGGAAACGTTGCAGCCTTGCCCAAGCGACCCTGACGACTTCTTTGACTGCCTGATCACCACGGATGAGTGTTGAGTGCCTTATTACGTCTCAAGGCAAAGAAGCAATTCGAAAAATAAAAACACCGTTAAAACCGCAAAAAAACAAAAGAAAAAAAGGGGGAAGGTGGTTTCGCCATTGGGCCATGTGATGATTAGAGCACTTGGGACTGCAATGGCGTACTCCTGACAGGTTAGGTCCATAAAGCAGCGGCTAAACCCATATATCATGCAGAAGACGCGGCGTTTGCTACAGACATAATGACCAACCTATTTGCGGACATGCCTTCTTTCTTTTCGAGGAATGTTTACTTCATGCATCGTACGTTTTCTTGTAAAAAAAATTGTCTGTAGAGAGTTTTAGAGCGGGTCAGGCAAACACCACCGAGTCTATTTCAAAACCTCCGGATGCGGCCGTGACGTCATCGAAGTGAGATCGGCCTGGAAGCTGGCTTCACCCGCTGGGCCAGGCTTTGTAATGCGTATAGTCTCTTCGTCCTCGGCGCTGATTTTATCGATAATGGAACACTGACAGTACGTTTTACCTCAGAAGAGCTCGCAAGAATTAAGACTTTGGTTTGAGTTGGTTGGTTCATGATTATTTAAAAGGTTAAAAGCGCAAAACAAGACAAGGACGCTGAAGAAACGCACACGAAACAGACTGGCGCTCGTAGGGCACGTTTCAAGTCGTGTGTTGTATTTATTCTTTAAATTCTCACTTCCACGTCGCCTATGTCTACAAACATTTAACGAGTCCAGGACTCGCGCACGATTTGCGAACATATTAAATAACAAAATTAAAAGCAAGAGCCCTGACGCCCCGATTTTCCCATCTATTATTAAAACACCACAGCTGCTTTTCGGGGGTACAAATTTTCACCCTTTATTTTGCAGGAATAAGCTTGACAAGTCTATAAAATAGGCTTGAAACACACATAAAAACTTGGGTTTGTGGCAAAAATAAAATTTCTCAGGAATAGCTTCCACAAATCAACCGATAGCACATTCATAAACAAAGTTTCAAACAAAAATATAATACATCAACATCTCCAAAACAAAGCAAAAAAAAAAAAAAAATCCTGCAATATACACGAAGTTTTAAACAATATACAGCAATGTCTCCAAATACACTGTTGGCACAAATTGAAGAGAACAAAAAAACAGAAATAGGTCAAAATACACACACACACACACACAATAAAAAGAAAAGAAAAACACTTGCCACCGTTAGTGTTTGTGACAATAATTTCTAGGCAGCAGTCGAAATGATAGCAGACGTTATGCGCCAATTCCTGAACGTCTTCCGTTTCCGCTTTGCTGCTTTGGCTTCAGCAAGCATGGTGTTCTCTCGCTTACACAAGTTATTCAGCAAAGTGTTGGCAGCCGCGCCTAGTACATAACCCATCACCACGTGAGGTAAATGGTCATTTATCTTACCATTCAAGGTTCGGCGCTCGATTCGGCAAAAGTTCGGCCCATCGCTACATCCCAGCTAGCACGCTTTCGACAATCTTGAAATCGAAGGACGCCAGTGTGACCCCTTCGCGAACTTTTCCGTGTATTGTTAAAAATTTCAGTGCGTCGACACGTAAAATCAATACCATGGTAGTCCTCATGATGCCGCTGCGTTAGGACTTCGTATTTACCCAACGAAATGTCCGAAAAACGACTTTCTCAATTTTACGAAGTTCCCGATTTAACGAAGTACGTAATTCACGGCTCCCCTCGACTTCGTTAGATCGAGTTTTGATATCCTGCTGGAAACGTTACCGGGACAGGTTGGGGAGGCCATCAAGCGTCTCGGGAAGCTGACCAATGGAGCGCGTTTGCTCCACCACCACAGTGCACCCACGACGCGTTCGAGGATTTTTTTAGGCTCTGAAGTACTGTCCTTTCCCCCGTATGTGTTCACCAGCCCTGGCACCCAGTGATTCCTGCCAATTCTTTCCCTCGTGAAAAACGACCCACTGCATGGCAAGTGTTTCGAGGACGATGACGAGGTGATTGTCGAGGTGGAACACTTCCCCAGAGCCAACACAAGGACGTTTACAACCAGGACATCCGCCAGCACATCGATTGGTAGAAGTCTGTTGGCTTCTCTGATGCGTACGCGGTGATTGGCCCTCACCACCGACGCTCGTGACCACGGCTCTTTTTAAGCCGTAATATCACGATATTTATGAAAGCTCCTTGTAACACGCTCTGCCTCTGATTTTGGAGACGACCACAAGCTCCGGTCTCTTGGAAATATGTGCGTCTTCCGAGATTCATACCTTGGCCAGAGTCCGCCATGCATTTTGGGGTGCTTGGATATGTTGTGGGTTACAAAAAATCGTTCTGGGTGCCTTGAGCGTTTTCTCGTGTTCAGTTGTTGTTGTGTCACTGAACCTGAGGTTGTTCTCATTATAGTTGTGAGAAACAAAATGCAGTTTGTGCACCAATCTTTTATAAATAAAAGAGGCAATTGTACATGCTGCTTGATCATGGGTGCCCTCATCAATTTCGTGTAAATGAACCTGTTAGAAATTCGCCAGTAAGAGTTTCCGGATCTCTTTAGCGATGAACACAAACATAGTGTTGTACTTCACAATATATTTTTGAGTCAATCAGGCAACGACATAATGTGGTACTAATGTCCAAGAAGCGCGCGCGCGCGCACGCGCACACACACACACACACACACACACACACACACACGCACACGCACACGCGCACGCACGCACGCACGCACGCACGCACGCACGCACGCACGCGCACACACACACACACACACACACACACACACACACACACACACACACACACACACACACACACACACAAGAGACCGGCTACTTTGGAAAGCTGCATGCTCCGATACATCAACGTCGTATGCGCTAAACGTCATTAAAAAAAAAAAGAAAACATGCGCGTGAAGAGATGTCCCATTTATTAAACGACAATCAATCGAGACAGGGGAAACAGCTCCAACAGTTAGTTTAATTAATCAGAGTACTATTGTTTCAGTCAGTTGTCACCGCGCGACACGACTTCCTGCTTTCTGTGTAGTCTTGCACCACATTACTAAAAAAATATTAAAAAATTCACTTATAATTAACTTTGGTGTGAGAAGTTTATTGGATTTCGTAAATAAATATTTTAGATAGATAGGATCTGTATATCTAATCTTTATATGTGTTCAATAAGATTACTTGATTAGTGGAGAGAAAAAGTAATTTAACGTTACTTGAAAAAGAGACTCTTACTTTCCCGATTACTTCGTATGCTTTATGCCGTTATCACTTGCGACACTGAGAAACTCGAGATTATTTGAGCTTTGTTATCTTGTAGGCACCAATGATAAGAGGCTTTTGTAGATAGCTGGAACTTCACTGTCCCAACTCGAGACTCAACAAACCCCTACATAAACTGTCCATCTTTTGTACAGCCCGGTAAAAGTTATTTTATTCAAGATTTTTATTAAGTGAATATATCGCAGTATTTTTAGCTGGAAACATGGTGACTAATAAGTAATCGTAAATACGGAAGCCGAGGAGGGTGGGGCTTGTAAAAAAATACTAACGGCCACAAATCATTTTATTACTTCCAAAAGTAATGACGGCGACTATAAAAAAAAAAAAAAAAGGAATGCATTACAAGTCTACTATGATTACTTGTAATGACAACACCTTGTCGGAAGCGCTCCTCGGGGCCGTTGTGTTTCCTCCTCCTTTTCTAACACCCATGTGCGGCGTGAGATGGCGCTGCCTGCGTTGGGAGGCTATGCGGAGCGCAAGTCCGTCTGCTTCTTTTTTGCAGGGTTTGTGGTGACGTCATCAAAAAGCCGAGCTCTGATTGGCTCTGATTCGAAAGATAGTGGGTAGCGGACCATTTGAAATCTAATGGCAGCCAAGTTTTCGAAGTCTATTACTATTTTCTTCACCTCCGGAATGTGCTGCCTGTAAAAAAGAAATGTTGAGTTTAGTCGCAAAAGAGGCACCCAGCTATTCTTTTCTTGTAGGTGACTATGCTACCTGGGTCAAGATCAAATCAAGATCAAATCAAATGTGAAGAAGGTTCCTATCTTGATAGTAACCTTCTTCACAATTCATCTGTGATGGGAAGTTTCTACAAAATATTGGTGGGCAAGCTTCGACCAACACTAACATTGTTGAAGACGCGCCTCGGAGAGCAATCGACACTTGCCTGTTTGAAACAATAGAAAATGTAAAGGTTTATCATTTTAGCGGTGTTTTAAAGAGATGGACAGCAACCTTTATTTTTAATGTCCTATAATGCGTGAAACGCGGTATTTGAGGAGCAACCGTTTGAATTTGTTTAGAAGACGCTAAACAGTCGTTTCAGAGAGTGAAAGACCCACTTTTAGGAATTTTTCTAAATTTAACAGGACTAAGGACATGTGACAGCCCCAATTTTCCCGCTAAATTTCGTGGGAAACTAATTAATTGGTGTAATACGTCATGCGACGTGTCACGTGGCATCAATTTTCCCGCCATATTCGTCGGAGAAACTGTTTAAGCGAGAAATTTAAATGGGAAATTCGATCGGGGTGTAGGTCACATGACGTCAATTTTCCCGCCAAGTTTAGCGGAGAAAATGTTTCCCCGTCAAATTTAACCGGGATATTCAATTAGCCTGTAGGTCACGTGACATCCATTTTCCAGCTAAATTTAGCGGGAAAGCTAAACTGGCGTATGTGTCACATGACGTCAACTTCCCCACCAAATTCAGCGGGGAATTGCAGAAACTAGTTGATGGACAGGCGGACAAAATTTTCGGTTCCGTTCAAAAGCATTTCATTTTGTTTAGTGCATCACTCTTTCTTTAATCAGAAAAACTTCCAACAACGTCATAATCGACCGTTCCTCTCAGATTGCATCTATATTTTATCTCGCAAATACCGCAAAACCTTAGCTCTAGCGAAATGCAGTTCCGGGGTCGCCTCACCAATGGCGGCAGCGTGCGCTCTCGTTGTAAGCGGGTCGTAAGAGTTCACAAGAGCTCGGTCCTGAGCAAACGCAAGGGTGAACAGGCCGTAAGGGGCTCTAGACCGCTTTCTGCAATAGTCCATTTACGACCACGACTCAGTGCACGGGCTCTTAGCATCCTCATACAACCAGACATTACATTCATACCTGGACGATTGGCATGGCTAGTTGAAAGGCAGAGACATTTGCAATAAGAGCTGTAAGGAGGTGCCGAAAGCTTAGATCGTCTGCAAAACTTCTCTCCGCCTTTCAACTCGCCACGAGAAAGCGCGACGCATGCGCACTTGCGACCAATCCGTGCAGGAGGCGTCTGCCATTAAATTGCAACTGTGAAGGTGATGATGTAAAATGATGAGGACACGGAATTCCGCAAACTGTGAAACAAGATGAGCATGGCTCGTGAGAAGAACAGTATACGAACATTTAGTGTCCCTCAGGGCGCAGCCATCGCGCCCTTGCTTTTGGCAGTGTCCTGCGGCAGCGACCTGAACCTGCCTGGGCGCCGTCCCCACAGACCATCACTCCTGTCCGGAGGCTGGCCGATGCGCTGGTGTCGTTCCACCCTCTGCCTGCCTCCGTACCTTCAATTCGCGGATCTTGTTAGTTCATTTTAAGTACACCAACTTCTTCTTTCCGCTTGGTGGTCGCTCCCCAATATTCGCATCATTGCAGATCCCCGTCCTCATCTTATGGCGCCTTCTGGTGTCTGCAATTTCGTCTTATTGAAAAAAAAAATAGTAAATAGACTTAAAGGGATACTACAACAAAATTTCGGCGCTCATTTTTTGGTCTATATGTGTTCAAAGGAGCAGTATCACATCGAACATACCAATATCTTGTTAAAAAAGTCTCGAAAAGGAATTTTAAAACGAATTAAACGATTAGCAAAGAGCACCTGGTGGATGTCGCTAACGCCTTGTAAGTTGTTAGTAATGCTCGTCAAGGAACCTTGACAGCTAGTGACGGAGGTTGTCTCGTCTCCGGCCACGACGAAAGAAGAGGGGAAAGAGGAACTCCCCTCTTCCCGAGAATGTCTTTTGTGTGTCGCAGAAGTCGCTATTGTCTCCCTACAAGATTATACAAGATTAACCCGTCCCTCAAAATTCGTACAAAAGCAGCCGCTTCGGTGGCTGGAACGACTAGGCCATCCTAGGGTGCCTTCATGTCCCGCTTAAAGTGCCTTCAAAGCGCACATGAAGGCTCCCTAGTCCCGCTAGCATGAAGGCACTCTAGGCCATCCTCTCGACGTCAGCCTCGCCGTAGCTTTGCTGGTCTTGAGACGACCTACGTCAAGATTGCGTTGGATGTCACGTGGTCTCCGCTGGGCCTTCTCCGAGCGCTTGCCAGAGTGGGCCGTTTACAACGAAAAATACAGCCACCAGGCTCAAAATACAAACGTGTGATTGTCATTTACGGATATTGTGGATCACATTCAACCTATTTATGAACACAATGGGAATATTTCAAATATTGTTGAAGTATCCCTTTAAAGGGGTCATGAAACGCTTTTCCAACTTTTTCCTGTTTAGCTTTCCTCCTCAACTCATAAATCCCGCATTCCACCAAACAGTTCAGGAAGACGAAAAGAGGGGACGGCCCTCTTGCTCGGAATCTGGTTTGTGTACCCGGACAGAGCCATTGTCCCCCTAGAAGATTAGCCCGTCGCTCGAAATTCAGACAAAAGTTGCTTTCCCCAACCCGTTCACCCAGAAGCTGACAGTGCTGTGGAAGCTACGTGCTCGTTGGGCCAGCCACACTTTTGCCACGTGATCACGCCCCTTCGCGCATACCCACGTGCAGAGAATGAGGTCAGGTGATGAAAGGGAGGCGGCTGATTGGTCGGGCAAGCGCGTAGCTTCCACCACAATGTCAGCTTAGGGGTGAATGGACTAAGTCAGGTCCAGTTTCGTGTGACGTGCGTTTGGACCCGATGACGCGGTTTTGGGACCGCGGATGAATCACTGTGAAAAGGCAGAGAGCTTACGAAGGGGGAGGAGGTACGAAATAGTCCGCTGTGTTTTCAAATTTTCGCACAGAAAATCAGGCTTTTGACTTTCTTCTTTGGCCCACTGAACGAAGTGCTATTAGTAAAATCCCAATCTAAAATGATTTATCCCAACCCGAAATTCGTTTCATGGGCCCTTTAAGGAACCTAGCATTGAGGTCTACCCACTATCCTTTTCAATTAAAGCCAATCAGATCTCTAGATCATTTTGATGTCACCGCAGCTGCCGCACAAGAATCTCTGAAGCAGACGTCTTGGTCTCCGCATTGATATTTGACGCCGATTTTTATAGAGAAATCGGCCACATGGGAATGTAATGTTTGGTATTTTAGGATGCTTAGAGCCTTGGGCTATGACCATGAATGTGGTGTAGCACACCCTTAAAACTCTCGCTCACAATAGACGCACCGGAAGGGGATTTTCGCCTTGGTGAAGAGGAGCCTAGATGCAACGTAAGGGGCGTCTTTGGGGTGCTTATCTTGCAGGTAGACAACTTGGCCGATGCCCGACTGCACCACCATCTTGGCACACTCGTTGCACGGGAAGTGCGTCGTGTACAGCGTGCAGCCGCGCACGTCAAAGCAGTTGCGGTTGAACAGGGCGTTCATTTCGGCATGACACACTGCAAAAACAACGGGAGAAATTTAATTCACACGCGAAAGAATAAGGAAAAGGGACAAAGCACAGAACAGAAAAGAAAGAAAAGACGGGAGAAGTGACAAGTTTTCGAACGATGGTGCAACTATGCGACAGACGTGCGTCACTATTCCCACGCAAAGCTTTGGAGATGAGTCTTATTTCGTTGACGTTGAATATATTTTTAAATGTGTGGCTCCTACAGGTTGAGCACTTATGTGACATGCTTCACAAAACAATTTTTTTTCGGAAAAAAAAAGGAAATTGCCGAGGGCAAGGTTTACATCGGGAGACTAGCAAACGTGAGTCTATTTCAGACGTTGACCCCAAAATGAAAAAAAAAAATTCAGAAATGCACTGAAATAGTTTTTTTTCCTGTTTTTTTATTAACATTCATGATTTCGTAACGTACGTGCCCCATCCAAATACTTTGACCAATTTTTTTTTTTTTTTTTTTTTTTTTTTTGGGGGGGGGGGGGGGGTGAAGTGTGGGAAGGGGAATTTCAGTAAAGGTGCACAGCAACGAAACATGGTAGGCCGTGGATACCGATTTGACCCAATTCAAGACATTTTAAACTGCTACACTTTTGAATGGAAATTCTGCGTTTTTTTGATCAGTTCCCACCTCTGCAGGTTAGATATATCTCGGTAACAAATCATTTACGTGCGGAAAAAAAAATATGCAGGAACGCTGCAGGCTTTGTCAGAAATGCGGGTAATCCGGCACCCTTATACAAAGGCTGGGAACACTTGCTGTGACGTAAAGCTGTCGCCGCTTTGTAACGCAATAAACGTTTCGGAAATCCAACAGGTGTTGGTGTATGGCTGCACGTATTGCCTTGCCGGCACCACTTGACGTAGGTACCATGCGTCAATGATCAAAATGATTTTTTTTTTTACCAATAAAAAAAAAAAGAAGCTGCACATGTTTAAATGTTTGGTCTCCGCCCAAACCTAGAGCTAGCGGTCAGGACCCAATGTCAAAGTTTCAAAGCTTGCCGTTTTTCCCATTTCAAAATTAATCGGCGATTTTCAGAACTTTTCAATAAGAAAATGGTCGACACATTTGAAACTTTGGCATTCGGCCTGGACTGCTAGCACTACAGTTGGGCAGAAACTGAGCTTGCAACATTGCACAACTTTTTTTCCGCAAAAAAAAAAAAAAAAATGTAAATTTTTTTTTTAACATAATTTTGTATATAGAAAACGTTTAAAACAAGATTGACGCTTATCGTGCATTCTTATCAAGAATGCTCCTGACATCCCAGTGAGTATATAAAAGCAGAGCTGGCATACGCAAGCCGACATTGACGTCGGCCTTCTGTATTTTCTTCTTCTTTTTTCTTCTTTCAATTACAATTAAAGGCATTTAACGAGGCCTACTTGTGCCTAAAGAAAGAAATTACAATAACCGGCGTCACAGGCATTGATTTCCTCACAGTTGGATTATAATGAGGTTGAGCAGCAATCCTCCAACCGCGTTATTTCTCAGAAACTGAACAATTCGAAAAGTTTATTGAATCTTTTCAGTTACCGTAATGTCCCGAGACGCCCCACACCCGAAAGATAGCCCACCCCTACTTTTGACGCGATTTGCTATTTTTTCTGAAACACCGAAAGATAGCCCACTTCTAGTAATTGCAGGGCCCTGGCCAATAGTGACCCGAAAAAGAACTGTGTTGCTTAAACCACAGCGGGAGATGAGCGAACATTGCTGACTGTAAAGGAGAGTTGTCTTTGCTTCATCGCACCCTTCCTGCAATCACAACTTTCAAAGGGTGACAAAACCTAAAACTTTTTTTATAGCACACCGAAAGTTAGCTTACCCCTTATTTTCACTCAATTTGCTATGAAATTCAGGTGGTCTATCTCTCGAGATAGTATGGTAAATAGCTATCTAATGAACCGATTTCATCTCTTTTGTTAATGGCCCTCCAAACTGCAAACACAACCAAGGGGCTAAAAAAAAAAAAAAAATTTCCAATGGAAGTTTCTATTTTTTTAGCATTTACACAAACACCCTGTATCTGCCTCCATCTGCTGTTGCTCGCACACAGTTTTTGCAAGCCTGCAGCGTATTCGAAGTAACAATCAAAAAGCAGCTTGCACACATGTGTGCCAGCACAAATAGAGCTATGTTTCATCTTTGCTTACAGGGCATCTCCGCCGTAATTTTTATAGTCGCCGATTTCTATAAAATTTTCACCATGCATATTTGGATGCCCTTCCTGAGCATGTGAACGAAATATCTCGGAAAAATATTAATTTTCTTAGAAGAAAATGAATTTTGAAATTTACACCTCCACACCCAAATCACTTGCTGCCGCCCTACTGGCAACACTGAGGAAGAGCGGCACACGGAGGCTGCCATGATGGCACTGACGTTGCTGTGACGTCACATGTTGGTCAGGGTGCTTGCTTTGGAGCTTGTTGGTGATGGGACTGTCTGGTTTTTGCTTATTTTATCGGTTTATACAGTTATGTGAGAGCGCGTAATGGCGACTGGAGGGAATTGGTGTTGTGCCGTAGGGTGTAATAACACCACAAAGAAACGCAGCAATGTGACATTTCACAGTTTTCCGACCGACAAGTCGACACGAAAGAGATGGGTCCTGGCAGTCCGACGTGAACGCTGGCTCCCAAGTAAAAACAGCCGAATCTGCTCCGACCACTTCTCACCGGATTGCTATGCCGCTAGCGTGCGACTGAGGGAATCTTTCGGGTTGAGCGGGGACGGGCGCAGAAAGAAGGCGTTCCTCGTGATGCACCCGTCCTGTAGTAGTGGGGACATTCTCGCAATCTCCTCACACCAGTAGAGGGGGCATTTTGGCAATCTCCCCACACCACAGGCGATGCCGGCGGATCGTATGAAAACGGGTTATCGTCATCGTCCTCAAAATCTAGCCGCATATCCTCATCGTTGCTCGATTCAGACGAGCTTGATGAGTCCATTTTCATCCGCGGCACGAACACAAAACAGTGACCCGCTGCCAGGCTGGCCAGGCTCAAACTGCACACGTGCGAGTGTTTATACCATATATGACATCACATCAAAATGGCGGACCAGTCGAGTGGCAAGTTAGTTTCGGTTTCGGTTTCAGCGTATTTTAACGATTATAAATTATGTAAACAGTTTTTTAATGATTTAACTGCTGCTATAGGCTAAATTTTTAGTACCCTTTCCGAAAATATGTTTCGATAAAAACGCTCAAATTGACGGCGGAGCTGCCCTTTACGCTCGGATACCGACTTCGCGTGCCTTCCGCACGTTCATGGCCAAGAATCCGAGACATTCGGTTTAGTTCCATTCCGCGACGACATGTGGCGCCTAAGACCCGAGCGAAATCACTTTTCCAATTTCCAATGTGCCCTCTGTTTCAGCCCGCACCGCCAATCTTATCTTCGAATCCGGAGAGGAGACATCGTAATGCAGTAAGGGCATAGCACTGATAACACGCTCAAGACAGCTCCGAACCTCGGAACCTCTCAAGGTCACAGCTCTGGGCGCGCCTAGCGCAGACGTACAATGTGGAATTGCTTCTCCCGCAGTCAATGTGCATTCTAAAGTGATAAGCTAACGCTCAAGACTATTGCTCCATCGCTAAAAGCCAAATTTAAACCGAGCAAAGTTAAAGCTATACTTCGTCTCACCTTAGCATGGACTGGCCCCAAAGGCTGCTCTAGCGCGAGACGGTAGCCTTGATTGGCATTCGCGCCACACGAGTCCTCGTGCAGCCGCCGAGGCGTCGTCGAAGCACGCGACCAACAATAGCCCATGCTAAGGTTAGACGAAGTATTGAAGCGCGAGCCGAATCCTCTGCGTTTTCCTACCTCGCACCTACAGTGTACTAGAATATTCTAGTACACTGTACCGCACCGGCGGTAGTGCATCGGACATAAGGTAAAACGATGCTAAAAGTGCTCTGTTTCAGGCTCGGCTTTCTCTTATCACTGGGGCCTGTTAGAGAGGGTCTTCTGGCTTAGGGCACCTTGGCTCAGGCTAAACTTTGTCTCACCTCAGCATGGACTATTGTTAGCCATGCATGCTAAAGGCGCGAGCCGTTTCCTTTGAATCACTCCTCGGTGGCTGCGCGAGCGCTCGGGCAGAGAATACTTCAGTCGAGTTTGTCAAGGCTAGCCGCTCGCGCTTGCACAACCTTTTCAGTAGTACTTCGCAGTCTCACGTTAACATGGACTAACCACGGAGGCTGCGCTAGCGTGAGACGGCAGCCCTGACTGCGTAGATTGGCATCCTCGCAGTACGAGTGCTCGCGCAGCTGCCGAGGCGTCATCCAAAGCGATTACCCCAGGCTTTTATTGCGCGTGGTTGCTAAAAAGACACAATTATAGCTTTGGCCGTGATACGGTGGAATATGCACGTCAGCTATTTATTTGTCTGTTTGTAAACAAGCTCACTATGGTGGGTGACAGCTCAAGAGTGCAGTGGAAGCTCCGCCTTCAGCGCGCGCTCCTTGCCTTCCGCCGCGCTTTGGCTGCGCGTGCACACTTGTGCTATCAAGGCCACAAAGCTCGTGCTGTAAGCGGAGCTTCCACTGCACTCTTGAGCTGTCACAGACTATGGAGTCCACTAATGGCGAACCCCTGCGCGCTTCCGGATTCGAACGTTTTTCCGTTTTGTTCCACGTCATTTTGCTTTCTGTACAGCTCGCAAGTACAAGGGTCGTTTGATAAGTTTGGTAAATTTATACGATGAACTATTCAATGGATGACACCATGGCTGGCAAGTGCCATTCTTCAAACTAACCCAGGCTAGCTTCCAGACGGGAGCGAAGCGCTGTTCATGTTTGACAGACGGTTGAAGCGAACACTGTAGCGCTCGCCACAATGGAAAAAAAAAAAAAAAACAACCCTGTGCAATGATTAAGCACGTTTGTTTTAAAAATGTTAACGTCCACGTATCAAAACCGAGTTGCATGAAGTTCATGGGGACCCTTATTCAACGTTGAAGGGTGTTTAGTTC